AGATGAGGTGGGGGTGGGGTGGGCAGAGATCATTTGTTATTTATGCTATTTTCTGTCTTCTTTTTATATTTTTAAATTTTATTTATTTAAGTAATCTCTACACCCAACATGGGGCTTGAACTCACAACCCCGAGATCAAGTGTCGCACGCTCCTCCAACTGAGCCAGCCAGGTGCCCTGCTATTCTCTGTCTTCTGAAGAATGGAACACTCTTGTTTGAAAGATGATGAGCATGTGGGGTGCCTGGGTGGCTAAGTTGGTTAGTAGTCCGACTCTTGATTTTGGCTCAGGTCATGATCTCAGGGTTGTGGGATCAAGCCCCGAGTGGGGATCTGTGCTCAGGCAGTCTGCTTGTCCCTCTTCCCTCTGCTCCTCCCCCTACTTGCTCTCTCACTCTCTATCTCTAAAATAAATAAAATCTTTTTTAAAAATTAAAAAGAAAGATGATGAGTGTGAAAATGCAAATTGCAGAAAAAGAGATGGGTGTGTCCTGGAGGAAGGTGGCAGAGATTATGGAAAGAGAAGAAGCCCAAGTTTGTGGCTGAAGAGAGGCCCAGAGAAAGAGCGTCTGGTGGGCAAAGAGGAGTAGCTGGTACCAACAGAGAAGCTGAGATGAGGGAGCAGAAATGTTTGAAGGGATTTGTTATGTAGTTCTGCAGTGTGGAATGCCGTATGATTCTCATTGTGAAACCTTCAGTAAAATCTCCATTCATCAGTGCTTTGTAACTGGGATTTGTTGCAGGGGAAATCAAATGACCCCTGCATTCCAGGACTGGGTATGAACACAGTGTGAGTGTCACATTCTAAAAGACCTGAGAGGGGCACCTGGGTGGCTCAGTTGGTTAAGCGGCTGCCTTCAGCTCAGGTCATGATCTCAGGGTCCTGGGATCGAGCCCCTCGTGAGGCTCCCTGCTCAGCGGGGAGTCTGCTTCTCCCTCTGCCCTGCTCGTGCTCTCTCTCTCTCTCTCTAATAAATACAATCTTTAAAAAATAAATAGGGTGCCTGGGTGGCTCAGTCATTAAGTGTCTGCCAAACCCTGGGATTGAGCCCCGCATCAGGCTCCCTGCCGAGCTTCTCCCTCTCCCACTCCCCCTGCTTGTGTTTCCTCTCTTACTGTCTCTCTCTGTCAAATAAATAAATAAAATCTGAAAGAAAGAAAGAAAGAAAGAAAGAAAGAAAGAAAGAAAGAAAGAAAAAAGAAAGAAAGAACAAACCTGAGCGAGATGCCCAGCCTCACAGCAAGTCAGGGAGAGAGGAAAGAATCAGAGGAAGCCCCATAGGAGAGGTGGCACAAGAGATGAGCCTTACCCAATGACCAACATTTCTACTGCAATAGTGCAGGGGGACTAAGTGTGAGAGGCCAAGAGGGGAGGCAAAAAGGTCTGAAAGTGTTCCATTGATGATTTACTATGTCCTGACTGTTGTCTGCATGAAGAAGGGGAGTAGGCTGGAGAGGGAAAAAAAAGAATGGCTGGAAGAACTATGGATGATGGGCCACCTTCAAACGTTTAAGGCTGTCATGGATGCGTTGGAGAGCAAAACACAGCCTGGCATGGGGTATTTGCAAGAATAGAATATGGCACAATTTGTTATATCCCTGAAAGGAGAGGAAATAGGTCTGAAGACCCTCTGATCTCCCTACTCCAAGTAGCTGCCTCCTTCAAATGACTAAGCCAACCTGGATTGTAAACACTGCAGAAAATAAATCATGTTACAACTTAATCACCCTCAACTTCAGTAGATTCCCCCTGGACTCAACAGCTGTTTCTATTCCAGTCCTAGCTGAGGAAAAGGCTGCCACCCAGCCATGCTCACTGATTTGTGGGGTAGGTCTAACTCCCAGGGCCCTCCACTAATGCTGAAACTACCTATATTCTGGCTGCCTGAGGAGCTCCCACACCCACCAGGAGGCCTCTGCCTGTCTTCAGGGCTGCCTGTTCTGTGGATCCCCTCAATCTCCTCCACTCTCAGAACTGTGATTGATCACCCCATCTGCCCCAAGAGAGTCTGAGGACCTCCTCATGTAGATCCAAGTGGATCCTAGGGCATATGGTGGCAATTTTTTTTTTCACTCCCGTCCCCATAACCTCAAGAAGTAGAGATCATTCCATCAGTTAACAGATAAATATTGAACACCTACAAGGGATGCTATGATACAAAATTAATTAGACATGGTCCCTGGGGCGCCTGGCTGGCTCAGCTGGTGGAGCGTGTGACTTGGGGTTGTGAGTTCAAGCCCCACATTGGGTGTAGAGATTACTTAAAAATAAAATCTTAAAAAAGAAAAACAAAGGACATGATCCCTGACCTCAGGGATCTCAGTTGAGAGAGACATGTAAATAAACATGGACAATTAGTGTGATAACTGCTGAGAAGGAGGTAAGGAAGTGCTGCTGTGGGAAGACTGAGGGGAGATCCTTAGTCCAGAGGGCAATGAGGAGGAAAGGAGAGTTTCCCAGGATTCTTGGAAGGAAAAGCAGGAGTTAGCCAGTGATTAGGATGAAGGAATGGAGGTAGTATAAGAGGCATAGGGAATAGGTATGGAAGGGAATGGCCTGGAGAGCAAGTCCTTTGGGCAACAGTGGGTAGTTCACTGAAGCTTGGCGTTCAGGCTGCACAGGTAGACCCCAGGGTGCATCAAGAAGAATCTTGTGGGGCGCCTGGGTGGCTCAGTCGGTGAAGTGTCTGCCTTCGGCTCAGGTCATGATCCCAGGGTCCTGGGATCGAGCCCCGCATCAGGCTCCCTCTCATCCCTGTTCCTGCTCTCTGTCACTATCTCTGTCACTATCTCTGTCTTGCAAGTAAATATATAAAAAATCTTTTATTTATTTATTTATTTATTTAACAGAGGTAGAGAGACAGCACAAGTAGGCAGAGCGGCAGACGGAAGGAGAGGGAGAAGCAGGCTCCCCACGGAGTAGGGAGCCCAATGTGGGACTCAATCCCAGGACTCTGGGATCATGACCCGAGCCGAAGGCAGCCGCTTAACTGACTGAGCCACCCAGGCGCCCCAATAAATAAAAAATCTTAAAAAAATTTTTTTCTTAAAAAAAAAAGAAGGATCTTGTATGCATTCCCAGGAAGTTGAGACTTTATGAAGGCAGTGAGGACCATGGCTTCATACTCTAGGAAAAAAAAAAACAACATACAAGAAAGGAACCTGTATACTATTTGACTCAGCACTGAATAATAAATACAGTCTTAATAACATAAACATTAAATAATGATTTAACTAGAAATTATAATATTGGAAGGATGGGGGACAGGGATAACAGCTTTCTTAATAGGAAATAACCATGTTATGTGAAAAAATATATATAAATAACCAGAATCACTCAAATAATTGTGGTTTGCTTCTGGAGAATCAGGAGTGGGGAAGGATGGGAGATGAGACTGCTTTTCACCACTAGCCTTGTTTTTTTTTTTCAAGGTTTTATTTATTTGACAGACAGAAAGAGAGAGCACAAGCAGGGGAAGCGGCAGGCAGAGGGAGAGGGAGAAGCAGGCCCCGCCGCAGTGCAGGGAGCCCAACGTGGGGCTCAATCCCAGGACCCTGGGATGATGACCTGAGCTGAAGGCAGACACTTAACCGACTGAGCCACCCAGGCACGCTCACTACTAGCCTTGTAATATGTAACTTTGTAAATAAGCTTTTTAGAAAGATAATTAAAATTATATATTATGTTAATATAACTTATTAATTTAATATTAATATTTCTATATAATTATTAATTATATAATTATATAATTAATATTAATAAAATATTAATATAAATAAAAACTTTTTTTAGTATTTATATGTGAACCTCATCTTCATCACTCAATAACTGAGCGACCAGGGGACAATTCTTTATCCTTTCTGTAGCTGAGTTTCTTCATCTGTAACATGGGAGAACAACACCTATTTTGCAGGGTTATTATGAGGACTACATATGTAAAGTGCTTAGCACTAAGTTTGGAGCTTAATAAATAATATTACTATTATTCAATATTTATTAAATACTTAATATAAAAACTTAATAAATGGCAGGCACTTTTTTTTAAGTTTTATTTATTTATTTTAAGTAATCTCTACACCCAAAGTGAGGGTTCAACTCACCACCCTGACATCAAGAGTCACCTGCTTTTCCGACTGAGCCAGCCAGGCACCCCTGAGCTCTTTTGTTTATAATAAGAGATGGAAAAGAGGCCTAAAAAGCATATTTTAAAGTCCTGAACACATGCTTTCTTTATTATTTCCACCACTGGTCACTGGAACACGTTCCATTATTTAACAAGAGCATGGCTGTATTCATAAAGTATAGAAGAGAGAGAAGTTATAATTCCAATATCAGAAGCAAAAAACTAGTTAAATGTTTCAAAATCAGGAGGTATACTCATCCTTGAAAAAAACATTTGCAGAAACAAAGAAACAGAATAATGTGCTTTGAGGAATCTATCTGCCTGGGAAAACAGGGCTTTGCGATAACGTTCCACTTGGATGTACGTTTAAAATTAAAAGGTAACCTAGGATTTGATATGACTGACATGAACAGATTTGCAGAGAAAGGCGGTTTCCCTGGGCTGTCTACAGACCAGAGTTCTAGTGCCTTTCATCCCTCAGGCCCTCAAATTTCCCGATTGTGTATCAAGGGGTCAAATAAAAAGATCTCTATGTCCTCGGCCCACTCTCTAAGGTTCTGAGAATTCTTGGTAACGTGCTTTTGCCTCGGGACGTGGCAATAAACATACGACTCAGGTTTCTCACTAAGGCTCCTAACATGGGTGGATTTCCCTAACCCGTCTCTAACTAAAAGTGTTTCCGAATCAGCAACCCCTGGATTGAGTCTCCTCACACTCCGCACCGACACCCGCCCTATACTGGGAAACCCAAGTGGCCCCGGCGGGCGCCCCCGAAGTGGCAACTACATATCCCAGGGTGCCCCAGGATGGGGGGCGCTCACTCGGATTGGCCAGGGGTCGCTGACGCTCAGTGTTTTGGCCCGGACGGTCACATGTTTCCTTTGTTGTGAGCTGCCGCAAACACTGGTGGCTGGAAGGAGACGCCGGCGCTGCAGAGAGTCCTGCGCTGCCGGCCGCTAAGGGAAGGCAGGGGCTGCGGCTGCTGGCCGTTTCCAGCCTTCGCCGAGAGGTACCCGGGCATGACAGCTCTGGAACTAGCCGAGAGGCGAGGAACCGGCTAGAACTGGGGGCGGAGGGTCGACTGAGGTCGCCACCATGGGGGTGTCTGCAGGAGGGAAGCCAGCGTCGGCCGACTCGGAGCCAGACGTGGGGTCTGAGGAGAGATTGCGGCTGGGACTTGCACGGTCTCTGTCTGGGGCGCGGGGTCTCCAGGGCACCCTGGGTGGGGGGGGAAATGTCTTCAGTGCCGGCACGGTAACGGCAGTCCTGAAGGGAGGGCACCCCTGCCTCCTGGCACTACCGCCCCGGAACCGCGGCGTTGCTGGCGCGGCCCGCCGTGGGCGGGTTGGGAGGAGTATGGCCGCCGGGATTGGGGGTAGCAGGTGCGGGTCGCTCCGCTGTCCCAGGGGCAGGGGCAGCTGGCGGATGGGGCTGGGCAGATGGGCCCCGCATGTTGCCGATGGGCTTTGAACCGGGCGCTGCTCTTTTTTAATCGAAGGAAGCACTGAGAATGCGAAGGTCTCAAGTCGTGTCGTTTGGTGGGGGCAGCCGTTGGTCCTGTTGGGGAGGACTGACGGGGTCAAGGTGGGTCTCAGGGCATCGGGCCAGAGAAGCCCCATTAAAGCGGTTGCGAAATGTGCTAGGCACCGTCACCTGACCGTTACTCCCGCCCCCACCCCCCGAGAGCCTTTGTTTACCACGGATGGCGGCTGAGCCAGCGCCGGGAACCCGGCCCTAGAGCGACCGTCCCCGGGGAGTCGGGGCGGGCGGGGGCGCAGGATTTCAGCCGGCCGAGTCTCCGCCTAACCTCCCCACCTTCCTACCAGTCCAGGACGAGGTTTCTTAATTTAGTTCCTAATGTCCCCGCCCCCAAGTTCTGGACACTCAGGGCGCAAACTGTTACCACAGCTGGGATTGGGCGCCTGCGGCGGACTGCAGGCGGGACGACTGGGCAAGTTCCGAGTGTTTATTGGCGGGTGTCTAGTCGCTATGCCCAAGCGGTTGTCCCCCGCCCCCTTGAAGGTGATCTGGAGGACGCGCGGGAGCGCGCGCTCTCGCCTCTGGCGCTGCTGTGGCCCGACTGGAGCTAGAAGCGCGCGTTCCCGCGCGGAAGGACTGGAGCTCGAGGCCGAGCCGCCCTGCTGTCACTCGGTGACCGCCGCAGCTTCTGCCAGAGCCTTAGGCAGTTCTGGGACAGCAGCGGAAGGCCCTCTTTTCGAAGACCGGAAAATTAACCCCCTTTAACTAGTGTCGCTTTATTACCGAGATGGTGGAAGGAAGTCCTCTTACGAAATTGCCCTTGCTGGTTCTGTAAACAAGATTTAAGTAGCGAAATAAGGACCTTAACGCTATATTTTAGGATGCCTCACTCACCCCTGAGGCAGTGACTATTCACAATTGATTTTAGGATTAATCACTTGGTTTCAAGCAGCTTTTTCTCAAGCAGCTTTTTAAGAATTACGCCTTAGTATTTGCAGCTATAGCCTTTTAGGTCCACCAGCTGAGTTTGATTTTTATTAGGAGTGTAAAATAGATTTAAAATCTGCCTCGTGTCGACGAAGATTAAAATTAGAATTCTACTTTTTTAAAAAAGTAACGTAAGGGTATTTTCCTAAAAGTTAAGAGTCTTCTATACCCCGGTTTAGATGAATTGTTTTCCTTGTTTAGAGGACGGTGACACACATATATTAATCCCCGTGGTAATTCAAAATTTGAGTGAATTTCAAATGTGTTGTTTTAAAATTGTAAATTAAGAGGACATTAGTAAGATCTCCCAAGAAAATCATTGTAGCTGTAATGTGTTGAAGATAAAATTTGCCTAATTTCATGAGTTAATAGCGTACTTGGGCTTTATCAGATTTTCTTTTCCTGTAAATTTGTAGGAATTCACCCAAGACCTAATGCATATTTGTAGAAGGTAGATGGAGTTCCCTGCGTGAAGCACGAACTGAATATGAACAGTTCTCATTTGTTATGCATTCTTAATATATTTTTGATATTTGAGTGGAGATGACTACACCAGAAGGGCAGCTTCTGTGATCCCAAACTGTCTCATCACTTGTGCATTGAGGGCATTTAACATATTTAAATAAGTACAAACTGCAAACCTCTAACCTTTTTTTTAAAATCAACAGTCAAAAGCCTGCTTATCTAGACAGAGCCTGCAACTTAGTCTCAGAACAGGAAAAAAATATTTTGAGTTAAGGTTATAAGTTTTAAATTAAACTTCCCTAGCTTTTGTTCAAGTTGCTAAAACCTTAATGCTGTTTAAAAAAAAAAAAACTTTAACTTGTTTTTCTGCCATTAAAACCCAAAAGTCAAGCCTGTGAAAAATAAATACTGTTACATAAATGACAGCAGTTATTTTTGTATATACTTTTACCTAGAAATTTGAGATCCTTTTTCAATAAATATTTAGGTATGGACTGTATGCTGAAAAATGTAAATAAAATAGCCTTATAAGTATATCCATCTAACTACATGAAAAATACATTTTGTATGATTCTAATTGTGTGACTAAAACAAAATGTGGCCATCTGACAACTGTTGACGTTTTAAAACATTTATTCTTTCTACTAAAAACACAATAGCTAAACTTTTAATTGATGAATTTGTCACTCTGCCTAAATTCATCATCCAAGGGCTTATAATTTTTCAGCGTTTGGCACATCTTAAAGTCTACTAATTGATGTTTAAAAGTGATTAGGCCTGGGGCGCCTGGGTGGCTCAGTTGGTTAAGTGTCTGACTCTTGATTTCAACTCAGGTCTCTATCTTGGGGTTGTAAGTTCAAGCCCTGCATTAGACTCCATGCTGAGCGTGGAGCCTACTTAAAAAAAAAAGTGGTTAGGCTTTACTCTTTACTCAATAGTTTCTAAAAGTTATTTCTGTAAATAATTTGTGTCACCGCGGGCGCCTGGGTGGCTCAGATGGTTAAGCGTCTGCCTTCGGCTCAGGTCGTGATCCCAGGTTCCTGGGATCGAGTCCCGCATCGGGCTCCCTGCTCCTTGGGAGCCTGCTTCTCCCTCTGCTTCTCTCTCTCTCTCTCTCTCTCCCTCTGTCTCTCATGAATGAATAAATAAAATCTTTAAAAAAAAAATTTGTGTCACCGCTAGGTAAATAAAAATCACTGACAAAGATATTTTTATACATAGAGAAGTCATCTGAAATACTAGATCTCAAACTTGTTCGAGTGGCAGAGCAGCGGGTAGTGTCCTTGCAGATTTAATTTTATTTTAATAAAGAACATGCATTAAATACTTCAATATGTTAGCAGGGTAAAACCAAATGACCTTAAGTTTACACGTTAAGTCTAGTGAAAAGCGTGAGTAGGCTTAATAGGCAGCTTGATTGCAGGTGTGATGCTTGATAACATTTTTTTTCCTTCGTGGGTAGGGGAATATTAGTAACCAAAAGTTTTAAGGCAAGGGAGAGAAACACTGAATGGAGATATTTGATTTTTTTGTTCTATGATTTAAGTTGTTTAGTTATAGAACCATATTGTTAAGTCTGACACATTGTTTAGGCACTGCTAAATTTTTCACCATTAGACACTTTTTTTTTTCTCTTGTTAATCACAGTCAGAATGTATTGACCATTTGAATTCTAGTCAACAAGGGATAATCATTAGTTGCTATAATCCTAGGCAAAGAAATTTAAGTGTCAGTTGGTTTCTGTTGTCTGATGGTGGGTAAATATGTTCTTGGTGGTTCCATTAAGAAAATTAAAATGTTGAAAATAACATCTTGTTTATTTACTATTTCTTAAATTATTTTTCATTTAGCTATGTAAAATAAACTCTTCTTCCTCCCCTCAAAAGAAAAGAACAGAACATCTTGAAGACTGGACTTTAAATACTGCATTTGTAAAACTTGGTTCAGGAACCACTCACTGCTCCCAGAGTAAAGCTTTAAATTGAAATTTTTAAGAGTGTAAATTTATAGTTTTTAAAAAGTCATTAAATAGAATGTTTCAAATAAATTAGCTTTTGAGAAAATAAGGTGAAAATATTTAAAATGTATAAAAACTGCATGGTTTTATGTAGTACCATGTTAAGTATAATTTTCTAGTCATTTTTAAATAATGGACTTACTGTGTTGTACTTTTCTGGCTTTCCTTCTTTTGCTTTACTTTATATAGCTTTATATATCTTTAAAGATAAACCTCTTCTTGGGGTGCCTGGGTGGCTCAGTCGTTGAGCATCTGCCTTCGGCTCAGGTCATGATCCCAGGGTCCTGGGATCAAGCCCCACATCAGGCTCCATGCTCAGCGGGGAGCCCGCTTTTCCCTCTCCCGCTCCCCCTGCTTGTGTTCCCTCTCTCACTGTGTCTCTCTCTGTCAAATAAATAAATAAAATCTTAAAAAAAAAAAAAAGATAAACCTCTTCTTGGTTAGTCTTCTGGTTGTCTCTGCTATGTTTTCTGCACTCAAAGTTAAATTTGAGAAAATGGAATAGTATAGAGCATGGTATGTGGCGGGTCACTGTCACAAGTTGTAGGAATCACAATAGTGAAAATGTTGGTTTCCTTTGCTATTTGGTATTTATTAGTCTTTAAGCTTCTCCTTAATCCACACTATCTTTAAGACTGATGGTAATTTCTTTATTTTATATAGGATTCCTGCATTCTAAAGGAAAATTAAGCTTGGTTGCAGTACAGCTACATTCTAGATCAATTTTGATATTATAACTCCTTTGGACTTTGTACACTGACCTCCTCTGTCCCTTGCCCTTACCTATTAGGTTGGTAAGTATTACCTTAAAACTCAAAATGCCCTAGTGAATTGCCTTGCCCTCCTGCTCCTCAAGGTAATAGTTCTAGACCAGGTCAGTCATGAGAAAATCTATTCCAATCTTTGTTTTCGCAAAACATTAAAAATTTGAATCTATTTTAGTAGCAGTTCTGGAGTTTTTTTTTTTTTAAGTTTATCTATTTATTTATTTAAGTAAACTCTGTACCCAGTGTGGGTCTCGAACTCACAACCCAGAGATTGAGTCACATGTTATTGACTGAGCCAACCAGGCACCCCAATCCTGTAGAGTCTTGAATTGCATCTGAATCCAGTATTTGTGACCCCAGCACCAGACAGAAAAATAAACATTTCTTTAGTTGACCTGGATACCTACATTGGCTCAGGATTTTATTGTCCACTGGGAAAAAACACTTACTTAGCTAGGATTAACAATCTCCTAATTTGACCAAGTTGAAATATTCTTTACCAAGGGTACACACAAGTTAGACTTACTTCTGGGAGTAAAGAAACATTCAAAATAACTTCTATTTCACAATTGTAGCAAAATCAGGGCATAGAGATATGTGTTTGTGTACCTATATAGGAAAAAATCAGTAGTCCATATCTTGGTTTTCACAATCAACTTTTTTTATTTGCCTTAACTTGTTAAGACATTATGAGTTCTGTTTGTAGATGTTTGGGCCAGGCACCAGAATTGCTTATGTTTAATTACCATTGCCATTCCGTGCACAGTTCAAGGTTCTGGTATTTTCTCTTAAGCATTCCTCTCCTTCCCATCCACCAAAAGAAAAAAAAAAGAATTGTGCTGGATTAGTTGGTTTCCACAGGTACTAAGTTTATAAGGTTTAACAAAGCAGAAAAAATAATATATATTATATGCATATATATATGCATATGCATATATATATGCATATATATGCATTAAAATGCATATATAATAATGTATTTATATATTCTAAAATAATTATTTGAGATTATGGATAATCTAGATAACTAAGGATTAAAAACTAATTTTTTTCTTGAATTACTAAGACATTTTCTGATTTTCTCAAATTGATTCCATAGTTTTATAATACATAATGACTAAACTGTCAATTTTTGTAGTATTGCTAGACCAACTCAGAATTATTTAATGGTCCCAAACTCAGATGAGACCTCAATTACCAGACACTCTTCAAATATCCATTGCAGAATTATCACAGGATATATATTTTGTCATCTCAGTTCCACCAATTAGCTTGCTGTTGACAATAATCTTTGTTTACTCATCTTTTAGAAAACTTTACTCCAAGATAATATTGTCAAGTAAGGAAGTTGACAAATAAGGAAACTAATTTGTATGTAGAAGAGCATAAAGTTATTAATTTGCTTTAAGGAATTGTTATTCAGTAATGATTTCCTATGCAAAAGTAAACTTTTAAAACTGCAAAAGTCAGAAACTGAAGTCTAAAAACTTCTTTCAACATATTCGTAAATAACGCTAACTATGCATTAAGTGATTAGTATCTGATAATATATTGCTGTTCTCCATTTACTTTAGGTGTGGAAATTAAAACAACACAAATATTTTGACTGGGGATTTGATCAAGCAAATGCTAAAAAGGTATTATATTTATAGTATTTATAAAGTATCTAAGGGGTGCCTGGGTGGCACAGTTGGTTAAGTGTCTGACCTGTGGTTTTGGCTCAGGTCATGATCTCAGGGTCATTGAGATCGAGCCCTGTGTCAGGCTCTGCATTCAGTGCAGAGTCTGCTTGGGATTCTCTCTCCCTCTCCCTCTACCCCTCCCACTTGTGGGCTCTCTCGCTCTCTCTCAAATACATAAATCTTTAAAAAAAAAAAAAACGCAACTAAACATTGTTATTAGAGAATCTAAACCATTTTCCTTTCTTTAACCAGGGATTACTTAAGCCAATCAGAGTAATGAACAGTTCTATCCTCAAGGTCATAAAAGAAAACAATGTCATAGTCATTTTTTTTTAAGATTTTATTTATTTGACAGAGAGATACACAGTGAGAGAGGGAACACAAGCAGGGGGGAGTGGGAGAGGGAGAAGCAGGTTTCCTGCTGAGCAGGGAGCCTGATGCTGGGCTGGATACTAGGACCCCAGGATCATGACCTGAGCCGAAGGCAGACACTTAACACCTGAGCCACCCAGGTACCCCGTCATGGTCATTTCTGTTACCAAATAAAGTATCCGCTCTTTTCACTTCCTCCCTCATATCCTCAGTCCCTCTTCTACATTTTTCTCTAGCCTTAGAGATACTAAAATAAGTTATCTCTCCTCATTTTTCTGAGACATAGGCCAAAAACAATTTTAAATCTACCTAGCAATCAGGAACTAGGTCTACAACATGCATGAGTTCTGCAGTTGGAAATAAACCCTAGAGTACCTTTAACCAGAAGAATCTTTGTGTTAAGAAAAATCCTTTCAAGTGAGGGTATCGCTTCAGGAATTAAGGTCCTGAAGAAATGAGGGAGGGAAAGAAAGATACTAGCTTTTCTAGACAAATCATGCAACTGGCAGTCAGTTGCTGACATGACAATCTCATCACCCTTGCACTTGCTATCTTTATCTAGATAAAACTTTGTCATTGTATTTCTTCGGAACAAACATTTTCCCCTCTTATTTTGTCTAGAGATGCTTACTTAGTTGCTTACTTTTTCCTGAAGGGAATGATGATGCTTTGATACTTGCTAAGTTTTTAGAAGAATTCTATCTGTAATTTATGTTTTGTTTGCTTGATTGTGTATGAATTTGTTTATTATAAATCTTGAACCTATATTAGATACTGTACTCTGAGATGTTAAACTTTATATTTTTAACCATTACTAGTTAAAATACTTCATTTGTGTAAAATGGGAGAACAAAAGCTAATAAATTACATCTGGAAGCCCAAAAGATGCACTTTGAAATGCATCTCCTATTCCTAAGACCCTCCTGTGTGAATTATTTACCCTGTCATCAATAGGCAGAATTTACATTTTGTGTTGCGGAGATTGGTTAAAGGGCAAGTTCTCAGAAAGTCTAGGGAAAGTGAGGATGTACAAAAGCCAGGCCAAAGCTGCTTGGAAAGAAATAGCCCAGATCTATGAGATAGCCTATCTACATACAAAGCAGTAAACAGGTATCTTGTTGCTGTTGAATACTTTGTAATAGCAGGTGATTTTATAGCTGTTCTAATCCAGGATTTTCAGTTTTACACTGGCAAAAGCAGTGGAAGACCGCTTGTTAGTCAACATTCAAGGAACCAGCTATGAGAGTAAGAGGCAGAAAATTACATAAGACAAACCCTTAACTCCTATAAAGGTTTTATCAGCCTTATATTAATACATAACTTGCTCAATCTGCTATCTCCAAATTTATCAGATAGAGATACCAGATAACAAATACCAGACACAGTAAAATTATTGGATACAGAAAGCAGAGTATCTTTTCATTTGTTTTCTTTCTTGTCCCTTTTAGCCAAAAGGGAAATTCTTAGTTTTTGCAGTATGTTATTTTATTTTTCATTTTGTTTGTATTCTGTTGCATTGTTTTGCATTCATTTAAACACTGAGAAGGGGCACCTGGGTGGCTTAGTCAGTTGGACATGTGACTCTTGATTTTGTCTGGATTGTGATCTGAGGGTTGTGAGATTGCGCCCTACGTCTGGCTCTGTGCTCAGCGCAGTCTACTTGGGATTCTCTCTCTTCCTTGCCTTCTACCCCTCCCCTGGCTTATGAGCCCCCCCAAAATAAGTGAATAAATAAAAAATCTTTAAACACTGAGAGAACAAAAACGTAGAACAGAAAAGGCATAAAGTTGAAGATTTTTGTTGTCAGTAATGCCAGTAATCACACCACTAGTCAAAAACAATAATCTGTGAATTTTTTGGAACCTGAAATGCAGTAAGAAATTAAGTAAGCTGATTTGAAGATAAATTCTTGTTTTGAAAGCTGACTTGTGACTGATTCAACCATAATTTGAATTTAGCTTGGTAAAGCATTAAAATAAGTTATATTCCATATCATATTTGTTTATGTTTATCATAATTGAGTGGTTATCACTTGTGATATTACATGCTTTGAACTTTTTTCAGTTTCAACAACAAAAAATTGGCATTCAGGCACAGTAGTGATCTCTCATCTATGGGAGATAGGTTTCTGTGTATTAAACCATTATTGAGATAACTTCAGATTAAAAGTGTATTTGAGATATGTGCTACTGCACATGTATGGGAGCTTGCAATTTAAAAGTGATGATATGTACTATAAGTGAATTTTTAAATTTTAACCCATGTATATGTGCATGTATTTGTGGATGGCACACAAATGTGTGGGCAGCCATAATCCAAGAAGTTGAATGACCTGTAGTAAGGCAAACATGAACTCTCTAGTCAGGAAAATCTCAAAAGAGATGGGAAGAAACATCTCCCTTTTTTTTAGTTTGTGATGATACATAATAAAACTAATAGTAAAATATTTTAAACCCATGCAATTTTATTCATTTAGGTATTAAAATTAATAAAAGAACATTTTTATTCTCATGCAGATCTGTTACTTAAAACCTCCAAAACATAATTAGATTACAGTTCAAAATCTGACTTTCTTGGACCATAACATATGTGTAGACAAATATTCCCTCAAATTTAAGAAAAGCTCATTTTACTGACTAAATATCCAATAATTGACATTGCTCCTAAAACCAGTTATTCATAAGCATTCTCTTAGGTTTATTTTTACTTGTGTGTTTATTTAAATAGGCCTTCTACATGAGTTTCCACTGCTGTCTAACAGTTTCATTATATTATAAACTTTGTTATACATTTAAAAAATAAATGACATATATATTTGAATACTTAAAATTTTCTGTTTGTTTTCTTAAACTTAGAAGTGAGGGTAAAGTTTATCCCTGTCAGTCTTTCACTTACGTTGTAAATAGTTCCTGCCTATTTAGAAAAATCTGTCTTGGGGCACCTGGGTGGCTCAGTCGTTAAGCGTCTGCCTTTGGCTCAGGTCATGCTCGCAGGGTCCTGGGATCCAGCCCCGCATCGGGCTCCCTGCTTGGTGGGAAGCCTGCTTTCCTCTCCCACTCCCCTGCTTGTGTTCCCTCTCTCGCTGTCTCTCTCTGTGTGTCAAATAAATAAATAAAATCTTTAAAAAAAGAAAAAAAGAAAAATCTCTCTTAATCCTTTACATAAAGTCCTAAGGCTGTAAACAATTTTCTTGTTAATTGTAGTAACAACTTCATAAGGTTGTTGGGAGGTTTAAATTAATTCTGTATGAAGAATTTAGAAAGTTGGAGCACCTGGGTTGGGCATCCAACTCTTGGTTTCGGCTGGGGTTGTAATTTCATGGGTCGTCGAATCAAGCCTGGTGTTGGGCTCTGCACTGAGGGAAGTCTACTTGAGGATTCTCTCTCTCTGTCCCTCCCCCCTCAAATAAATAAATAAATCTTTTTATTGTTTTAAATATTTACTTAATTTATTTGAGAAGGAGAGAGCAGGGGAGGGGCAGAGGGAGAGGGAAAGAATCTCAAGCAGACTGTCTGCTGAGCGCAGAGCCCCTTGTGGGGCTGGATCTCATGACCCTGAGATCATGACCTGAGCCGAAATCAAGAGTCGGTTGCTTAACCAACTGAGCCATCCAGGCACCCCAATAAATAAGTCTTTTAAAAAGAGAGAGAGAATTTAGAAAGTGCCAGGCACATGGCAAGCAGTTTTTAAAAAAGAAGATTAGTGTTGTTCTGTTTTGTTTTTTAATATGTATAAGGAAATACAACCCCCATGGTATCGTATCGTCAAAGCAGTTAATACACAATGAGTACACAGATTTGGCACTTAATAGTCCTACAGCCTTACTTGGTAGATTTCCAAGAACTTCCTCAGTTTTTGTTAGAATTCTTAGAGGGAACCAAAATGACCCTTCTTCGGTCATTTTAGGACTTTTTAAATTCACACAATCCACATGAACACAGCAGGAATTTCCCTCTTAGCATACTGCCTCTGAATCCCCACTCGGTGATCCTAAATGAAAAAAGTATTTGTTTTACTTGCATCTTTATTCCATTTGACTAATAAAATTGCTTGAATTTTTTTCTGACTTTACCTGCAAAATTAAGAGATGAAGAGAGGAATGGAAGAGAAAGGATTTTGTACATGCAAACATTTAGGTGTCCTTAAATGTGATTACAACCAGGTACTTTTCCCTAACAATTAGAATAGCCTGCTGTACATCTGTCTAGGGAAAATCCTAACCCCTGGACTTCAGAAAGATTAAGTGCTAATTTATATGAAGAGGTAAAAAACATTTAATAGAAACTTAAGTGGGAACTGTAGTATCTATACCACTGTGGCATCATATCACATATACTACCTTCCTATTTATCTTCTTGTGAATATGCTTTGTCTCAACTATATTAAAAAAAAAAAACCTCAACAGCAACATCCAGTAATATCTTACATCTCTGAAAACCATAGGCTGAGCACAGTATCCTGACAGTGGTAGGCACACAATAAATATTTGTTGATGATAGAAATGGAAGTGACAAAATTAAATACACTCAGTGAGGGAATTGAAAATTGGAAGTATCTAGTGAATATTGTAACTAGGGTATCTGGGTCATTAGAGTGATGAGAAAAGAAGGAAAATATAAGAATAAATCAGGGGGCACCTGGGTGGCTCAGTCATTAAGCGTCTGCCTTCAGCTCAGGTCATGATCCCAGGGTCCTGGGAATGAGCCCCTCATTGGGCTTCCTGCTCAGTGGGGACTCTGTCCCTCTCCCTCTCCCCCTCCCCCCCCCGCTTGTGCGCATGCACTCTCTCTTTCTCAAATAAAATCTTAAAAAAAATAATCAGAATATGAAAGAATGTAATAGAACGAGTTGCTTCTTGGTTTTGATAGTTCATATTTTCTAGCTTACTATGTCACATAAGGATTCTAAAAATGGGGTACAGTTTAATGTGTGATGGGTATACAAAATACAGGGTTTTTTTAAAGGATTTATTTTTAGAGACACAGTGCGAGTGTGGGCACACATGAGCAGGGGAGGGGCAGGAAGAGAGAATCTTTCAAGCAGACTCCCTGCTGAGCATGGAGCCTGCCCTGGCTCAATCTCAAGACCCATGAGATCATGATCTGAACTGAAACCAGGAGTCAGTGGCTTAACTCACAGGAGCCCCACAAAACACAGTTCTAAATTAAGATTAACTCTCAAGTGTCCATTTTATTTGTGGCTTGTGAATGTAGGACAGCATTTCATTTGGGGGGTTATCTTTGATGTTCTTAAGCATTCTTTAGGCTTAGTTAGGCCTGGATGTCTGACTGTTGAAATATTTCAGAAAGAAGCAGGGACCTTTAGAAGGAATTGTGTAAAAGATTATGAGAGAATGGGAATAGTTGAGAGTTATTCTCAGTGCTCTTAAGCCAGTTACAGTTACATTTTGGATCACATATTAATTTATGGAGATGTGAAAAGAGAGTAGCTGTGGAAGAACCACCTTAAAAATCAAAACTTAAAGAGAATTGATAGCCATAACCCAGTGCGTCAATCCATTAGTTTACCTATTCATATTCATTTCTGAGAGAAGTTTGGGGATGTTTCTTATTAGCAAAAGGGAGAAGGGCATGGATAGATGTGTTTAAAGATCTGAAAACAAAATACTACATATTTATAGTGGAAATTGGGTGAAATAGAGGAAAACAAAAGATAAATAAATCACTTAACATTTTGGCATATATGCCTCCTTTTTTCTATCCCTAAGATACACTGATACATAATTTTTTCTGTTTTGAGCATATGTTTTACGATCCGCTTTTCACTTACTATCTGACTAATACTTCCCTGTGTCATTAAATAGTCTACATAATTTTAAATGGCTGCATAGACTAAGATGCAATATGGTTTAACTCATCTTCTATTGTAGGGCATTTAGATTGTTTTAAGTATTTTCTATTAATAGAGCATAGAACATCTCTGTAGATAAATCTTTCCACATACTCCAGATTATTTCCTTAGGATAGATTGCTAGAAATGGACTTGCTGGTCGAACAATACACATTTTTTTTTTAAGTAATCTCTGTACCCAACATGGGGCTCGAATTTACAACTACAAGATCAAGAGTTGCATCCTGTACTGACTGAGCCAGCCAGGTGCCCCAACACACATATTTTTAAAGGCTGCTGATACATATAACTGAATTCCTCTCTCATAATATTATATTAAGGTAATAAACATTTATATTAGGAATCTGAATATAGTCAAATTCTTGGTCTTACAGCATTCAGACTTAACTCTACAGTCAGTAGATAAAACCCAGTTGTGTAAAAGGGGAGACAGAGGTTATTAGTAATTCAAAAAGTATATAATATCTTTGGGGGGGGTGGGCTTAAGGAGTACTATGGCAGATTGTATCCATAATGCAAATTTTTATTTATCAATTCTTATTAAAATGAGATAGTACTCTCTACTCCGCATAAGATATATTAAGTATATGTATTTGTTGTAATGTTTACATCAAAATGAGACTATGTAGTTTGAGTGCTGAATTTTTTATATATTGAAATGTTTTCCTTTTTTTTTTCTACTTTTAGCCACATAAAGAAGATCCTTAACATTTCTCAACAATTATATAGTCAACTGATGTAACAATGGTACTAATATTGGGACGAAGACTAAACAGAGAGGATCTTGGGGTGCGTGATTCCCCAGCAACTAAGCGTAAAGTTTTTGAAATGGACCCTAAATCTTTGACAGGCCATGAGTTTTTTGACTTCTCCTCAGGATCATCCCATGCTGAAAACATACTCCAGATATTCAATGAATTCCGAGACAGCCGCTTATTCACAGACGTCATCATTTGTGTGGAAGGCAAAGAATTTCCTTGCCATAGAGCTGTTCTCTCAGCCTGTAGTAGCTACTTCAGAGCTATGTTTTGTAATGACCACAGAGAAAGCCGAGAAATGTTGGTTGAGATCAATGGTATTTTAGCTGAAGCTATGGAATGTTTTTTGCAGTATGTTTATACTGGAAAGGTAAAGATCACTACAGAAAATGTACAATATCTCTTTGAAACATCAAGCCTCTTTCAGATTAGTGTTCTCCGTGATGCTTGTGCCAAGTTCTTAGAGGAGCAACTTGATCCTTGTAACTGCTTAGGAATCCAGCGCTTTGCTGATACCCATTCTCTCAAAACACTCTTCACAAAATGCAAGAATTTTGCATTACAGACTTTTGAAGATGTGTCACAGCATGAAGAATTTCTTGAGCTTGACAAAGATGAACTTATTGATTATATTTGTAGTGATGAACTTGTTATTGGTAAAGAGGAGATGGTTTTTGAAGCCGTCATGCGTTGGGTCTATCGTGCTGTTGATTTGAGAAGACCACTGTTACATGAGCTCCTGACACATGTGAGACTCCCTCTGTTGCATCCCAACTACTTTGTCCAAACAGTTGAGGTGGACCAATTGATCCAGAATTCTCCTGAGTGTTACCAGCTTTTGCATGAAGCAAGACGGTACCACATACTTGGGAATGAAATGATGTCCCCAAGGACTAGGCCACGCAGGTGAGAAAACTGTTTATAAATGAACTACAACATAATTAACAAAAGTTTTTATTTTTTAAATATTTTTAAACCTCCTGAGTGAAATCTCAGTGTAGTCATTTATATATATTGTCTACATGTGGCTTTCCATAATTTAAGATTTGTTTTGGATTATGTAAATCATTAAAATGTCTCTCCCCCTCAAAAAAAAGTTTTTTTAAAGTCTTTGCCAGTGAACACTAGATTCAGCAGTATCATTCTTTGTTATTCGGAGCTATGAAAGGGTATTGCAAAGGGTCTTTGCAACTGTGAACATCTCAACATATTTCTGCTTATTTCTCTTAATCTTTTCTCTTAATCTCTCATCATTCCACTTTTCTTTCCAAAGAGTCTTTGGATATAAAGTAGACTAAAGACTTTGGTAGTCTCGCAGGTGCCTGGGTGTCTCAGTTGGTTAGGCAACTGCCTTAGTCTCAGGTCATGATCCCAGGGTCCTAGGATCGAGTCCCACATCGGGCTCCCCCTGCTCTGCAGGAAGCCTGCTTCTCCCTGTGCCTCTGCCTGCCACTCCCCCTGCTTGTGCTCTCTCTCTCTCTTTCTCTCTCTCTCTGTCAAATGAATAAATAAAATCTTAAAAAAAAAAAAAAAAGACTTTGGTAGACTCTCTTGTACTGCCTCTACATATAAAAAACAATTGGCAGGGGTGCCCAATTGGTTCAGTTGGTTAAGTGTCTGACTCTTGATTTCAGCTCAGGTCATGAATTCAGGGTCATGAGATCAAGCCCTGCATTGGGCTCTGCACTCAGTGGGAGTCTGCTTGAGATTCTCTCTCTCTCAAATAAATAAATAAATCTTCAAAAAAAAAAAAACAATTGGCAAATTCACAGACTTCCTTTTTTCCTAGCAGGCAACTTAAAATATAAAGGTGAAGTAAGTAAGCTGGTATATATTGAGTGGATTCTTTTTTTTTTTTTAAGGTTTTTTTTTTTTTTTAAGATTTTATTTATTTGACAGAGAGAGACAGCGAGAGCAGGAACACAAGCAGGGGGAGTGGGAGAGGGAGAAGCAGGCTTCCTGCTGAGCAGGGAGCCCGATGCAGGGCTTGATCCCAGGACCCTAGGATCATGACCTGAGCTGAAGGCAGACGCTTAATGACTGAGCCACCCAGGTGCCCCTATTGAATGGATTCTTGATGTAAAACCCAGGTTTCAGATCTCTTCTCATTGTCACAGTAATTTAATGTCATTTTTTTCTGATTATAAAAATTGTATCATCATTAGAGAGAATTTGGAAGATATATTTAGAGGTAGGAATTCAATTCAGTATTAGACTTCTTCTTCTTACAGTGTATTATTTCAATAAAACATACAGATTTTAATTTATAAGCTATAGGAAAATAATATCCATGTCTTAATAATTGAAGGAATAATATTAAAGGTACTATACTGTGAATAAGCAAGAAATGGCTATTGTGAGAAATATAGTAAAGAATCTTGCAGGGCGCCTGGGTGGCTCAGTCAGTTAAGCATCTGCCTTCTGCTCAGGTCATGATCCCAGGGTCCTGGGATTGAGTACCACATCAGGCTCCTTGCTCATCAGGGAGCCTGCTTCTCCCTCTGCTGCTTCCCCTGCTTGTGTTCTTTCTCTCACTGTGTCTTTCTGACAAATGAATAAATAAAATCTTTTTAAAAAAATCTAATATTTTTCTAACAAAGCTAATTTTTTTAAATTGTGGTTAAAAAACATATAGCATAAATTTATCACCTTAACCAGTTTTAATAATTGTACCACTCAGTAGTGTTAAATATATTCACATTGTTGTGAAACTGGTATTTACTTTTATTTTCTCATATCATCTCCACTTTTCCTATAAATTTACTAGAGCGTAGCTCTCAAACCAAAATTTTAGCTTTCATTTTGATTATTATTGTTTTGGGATATGATTAAAATTCAGCATATGATGAGATAGCATGTCTTTAAAATCCACACTAGTTTGAACATCACAAGATTTAATCTGTTTCCTCATATGTAAAGAATGATGATAAATAGTACCTATCTCACAGGTTCTGCCATTGAAACTATTAAATGCAATAATCCTTAAGGTACTCATCATTGAAAGTGGTGCAGAGAAGTACTTAAAAATTATTAGCTATTATTTATAGAGTGTAGTGTAGGTTTGACCCACTTAAGAGAACTCCCAGGAGTGCCTGGTTGGCGTGGTTGGTTAAGAGTTCAGTCCTTGGTTTCGGCTCAGGTCCTATCTCAGGGTCTTGAGATCAAGCCCCGAATGGGGCTCCTCTCTTAGCTCAGAGTTTGCTTAAGACTCTCTTTCCCTCCGGCTCCTGGGTGGCTCAGTTGGTTAAGCGACTGCCTTCGGCTCAGGTCATGATCCTGGAGTCCCGGGATCGAGCCCCATGTTGGGCTCCCTGCTCAGCGGGGAGTCTGCTTCTCCCTCTGACCCTCTTCCCTCTTGTGCTCTCTGTCTCTCATTCTCTCTTTCTCAAATAAATAAAATCTATAAAAAAAAAAGACTCTCTCTCCCTCTCCCTCTGCCCCCCCACTTGTGCACTCACATGTGCACACACGTGTGCACTCTCAAATAAATAAATCTTTAAAGAAAACTCCCAGTACTTGACAGTCTGAACTTTTTATAAATTGGATACAATATTGGGTAATTATTATTATAAAAAATTAATACTTCTTTGTATTTAGGGTTAGAGTACATTTTTTTCTTCAAAGTCAACTGAATTTAGTGAAAAGTAATAATTGCTTTGTAAGAAAGAAGTATATTTGACTCTCAGTTTTTTAACAAGGGACAAAAAACATAGAATTTTGTTATATAAATATACTAATTTTTTAAGTTGTTATTTTTTTTAAGGACTACTAAGAAACAGGGGCTGAGCTTAAAAATGTGAAAGACCAAGGTTCTTAAATGTATTGATTAAGAATGCTGAACAGCAGGTGCTTGAGTGGCTCAGTCAGTTAAGCTCTGCCTTCAGCTCAGGTCATGATCTCAGGGTCCTGGGATTGAGCCCCGCATCAGGCTCCCTGCTCAGCGGGGGGAGTCTGCTTCTCCCTCTGCCCCTTACCCCTGCTTGCTTGCTCTCTCTTGCACTCTCTCAAATAAGTAAATAAAATCTTAAAAAGAATGTTGAACAGCTTTGGGACTGTTCAGAACTTTTCTGGATACATAGTATCCCTCTAAGGGGAAAATTGTGTATTTTTTCAAACAGACTCCCCTTACAGCAGACAGAATGGCTTTGGGTCAAATAGGGCTAATAATAACTTTCCAGCATATATCTCCTATATACGCATAGGATTAGAATTAGGGACCAGGGGATGTATGTTGTAAAATCAAATAAGTTATTTGTTATTAACATTATAAAAATATGACCTAAATGAAATCAGATTGCAGTCTAAAGGTAATTAGGCATAGATAATTTTCCAATTCACTTAATTATTTAATTTGTAAAAATGTATTTTACATCCAGTTTTTAAGGGAATCAATCCATTTCATACAGTGAAACACATCTATATATAAGATTTCAATGTCATCTTTCTTTAGGAGGCAAGTAGGAAAAAAACGAACTATAGTTATATCGAGTTTATGGACTATTGTAAATATGATAGAAGATACTTATTTTATGTAGCCATTGTCTAAGGAGCATAAAGAGAATTCCTTATTTTATAACTCTGCCACCACCTCCCGCTCCTTCTGTTCCTTCACTTACCTGTTACTGCATATTAATACAAATCACTAGGAATTTCATTCTCTGAACAATGTGTATCGTCTGTCAGGTTCTCATCTTTCTGAGGAACTCCAAACTTCTTTGAAAGAGGAGTGATGTCTCCACTTCAACTACAGTTCACTCCTCTGACTTCCCCTCCAGTCACTAGACTAAAACTCCTCTCAGTCAGGTCATCACTGACCTTCTATTTGTTATTTGTTAGCCTCTTTTCAGTCTTTATTCACCTTGATTTCTCTTTAGGATTTGACTTTATCCAGTTGCTTTACTTTTTCTTGAAATTCCTCCATTAGCTTCTGGAACACCTTTTTCCTCACAGTCCTCTTCTCCAGCTGCTCTTTTTCCCTTTGATGGTTCTATATCTGGCCTTTGAAATATTGATAATCCCCTGGGTTCACAGCTCTCTGTCTTGCCTTACATCACATCTTCCTAGATGATCTCATCTACCCTCTTGATTTTAATTACCATACATGCTATTGACTAGCAAACCTATAACTCCAGCCCAGACTTTTCTCTTTCATTTATTCACCCATTCATTCAGCCAATTTTTAAAAAAAATTATTTATTTGTTTGCTTATTTTTACCTCAGGATGCATCTTTAAAACAATAACATAGGCTAAATAACACCCCACTTGAAGTTAATATTTTTTTCATATTAACTAATACCCAGTCCGTATTCATATTTCCCCAATCTTTTCCAAACTGTTCTTTAATGGACCTTGATCCAATCCAGTACCGCTCATTGCATCTGGTTATTCCCATGAAGTCTCTTATTCCAGAACAGTTTCTTTTTCATGATTTTGTTGATGGGCAAGTTGTCCAGAAAATATTCCACCTTCTGTATTAGGTTGCTTCCTTATGCTGTCACTTAGCTGAATTTAGCTATGTTTTCTGGAAACTGGAAGTTAGTTCAACAAGCTTCCGCTTGATGGAGACAAGTTAAATATTTTTGGCTAGAGTTCATCCTAGGTAATGTGTATATTGTATTGCATTACTTTAGGAGACACAGCATATCTGGTGGTCCCACCATTAGTGATGCAAAGATTAACTCGGATTAAGGTGATAACAGTCTGTTTCCACCACTGTTCAGTTAGGTTATAGTCCTCACATCAGCCAGGATTTCTTCATGGTTTATCCTGTGGCGAGTGTTCTCCAGAGTTCAGTCCATACTGAATATTCTACCTATATATACCCACATGTCTCTTAAATAAGAAAGAAAACTCCAACGTACATTGTATTAAAAACAAAGGATGATAACGGTTACCTAAAAAGAGG